AGCTCCAACCTCTGCTCTCTGTGACCCAGGGCATGGTGAGAGCTGTGCCAGGGGAATTTGGGACGAATCTCAAGGAAAGGTTCTTCCCCCAGAGGGTGCTGGCACTGCCCAGGCTCCCCAGGGAATGGGCACGGCCCCGAGGCTGCCAGAGCTCCAGGAGCCTTTGGACAGGGATTTTAGAGTGTCTGAGCAGGGCCAGGAGCTGGACTGGATGATCCTGTGGGTCCCTGCCAGCTCAGGACACTCTGTGATCCTAAAGCACTCAGAGAAGTTACCCAAGCTGCCACGGCCACCAAGAGCCCAGAGCTCCACCAACCCCCCTCAGCGTCCTTCTGACCCCATGCCCTTCCCCTCCAGCTCCCAGGCTAGCCACAGAATTCACAGAATTCACATAATTCACAGAATTCACAGAATGATCCTTTTAATAAATCCCTGCTTTATTCTTTAACTCCTCCAGCCTCTGCTCTAGCTCAGCCTTCCCAAGGCATCCCAGGAGCCCCCCAAACCCTCCCCATAGTTTGTCCCATTGGGAACTCACATCCCCCCAGAGCTGGGGTGCCCAGCAGAGCCAGCCCTGCTGGCAGAGCCCAGCTCCCCGGGTTACAGGGTGGGGAGGGAAGGTGCTGGGGCTGCCTGCAGCTATTCCCTTCCCCGTGGTTGTGTTTGAAGCGCTTCCCTATCGCCCTTTTTGTAAAAGCTTTGGCTTCCCCCCCATAGCCTCAACAGATGAAATCAAAGGGAAGTAGCTCTGCTTGGTGTAACCTGTTTTGATGGAGGAGATAACCGGGGAACAAGTGTCTGACACAAACAAACAGACAGACAGGGGCAAGTCCCACCTCAGCGTTCTGTTGCATCAGATACCGAGGGCTTAGATAAACCACAAGAAGGGGGAGATCTCTGCCCCCGGGGCTGCAGGACCAGGGGCGACACTCGGCACTGCCAAGCCCCCACAGTTCCCATCAAAAAAATCAGCGCGGAGCTCGCTGGCATGGCTTTCATCAGTTTAAAAAAGATGAAAAGAGCTCCGAGCCAAGCAGAAAACTCGCTGCTCTTCGTTACCCCCCATGGAGGCTCAGCCCCGCTGCCAAGGCTTGGAGTCAGGTGGGGAAAGGGGAAAAGGACCCTAAAAGCAGAGGGGTAATCCCTGCTCAGCCTGCCCCACATCCCTGGGGAGATGGGGAAGGAAAATCAACCCTCTGGGGGCAACTGGTGCCTGTTCCCCCTCGCACAATGGAAAAAATTCAGAGCTGAATAAATTAATATTCACAGGGCTGGGCAGTGAGGACCCTTAGAAATTGTATTTTTAAAAAATAATAGGTTGTAAAATGGCATAATTTCACTGTAACTGATAGATTTGGGATCAAACCCCCACACATTTCTGGAAAATGTCTTTTTTTTAAAAGCCCTGAAACATTTTCTGTGGAATTGGTGTGGATGAAAAGAAAAAAAAATAAATAAAAGAAAATAAATAATAGAAAAAAAACACAGAGCTCTCTAAACCTCCTACGAAAGGCGAACGATTTTTAACAATTTTCTCAAAAAAGAAAACCCCCCAGAATTATTTCAAACACTTTCAAAGTAGAACAATGCCCCAAATTACCCCTTTTTTTCCCCCCCCCTTCTAAGCCTGGAATTGGCGGGGATATGAAAGGATGAGATTATGCCTCTGCTTCTGACACTTCCCATCAGATCTTCAGGCATCAGTTTTAGATCAAGGGCTTGGTTTACAAAAGCATTTTGGTACTTAATTCCCTCATTTTTCTTTTTAATTTCTTTTTTTTTTTTTTTTTTTTGGGAGCCAGCCTGCATCTTTTGGTGATGAAAAACCTTTGGATACCTGCACCTGGGAGAATTTCTAGGTGTAATATTGTTAATTTGGTAAGAGACCTCTCCTTTTGGGGGGGGAAACAAGCTGTGTGGATTGGCCTAATTGGGTAGGAAATGGGAAATTCAATTAATGAGTCATCAGAAAACACTCGGAGCCTTTTCCCACATGAAGCAGGGAACCCAAACACAGTAAATATTCCTCTAACAACGCCTGCAAAGGAGCACAAAAACTTCCCGGGAAGCTCGGCACAAAGAGAGCTTTGTTGTTTATAAACAGAAAGGGCTGAAAGGAGAGAGAAAACAACGCGGGGAAGGGTTTGGGGGAAGAGAGGAGCTGCGCCTCGCACAGGTGAGGGACGGGTGGTGCCACCCCCCGAGGGTCCTGCAAGGTGTCCCCAAGGGTGGCACCTCAGCAGGGGCTGTGGTTGCTGCTGGGGACACGCCAAAGGACGTCGCAGCACTCTGCAGTGTCTCATTTCTCAGAAGAATTTGAACAGAGCAAGAAATCACCGGGACAACCTCAGGAAAAAAATCAAAAAATACAAAATTCATCACTGGGACAGCCTGAAAAAAAAAATCAAAAAATCAAATATATAAACACCAAAAACTCAAAACATCAAAAAATAAAAAAAAAAAATCAGCGGGACAGCCTCAGGAAAAAAATAAAAAAATATTGAAAAAATTTAAAAAACACCAGGACAGACTCAGAAAAAAAAATCCAAAAATCATCACCGGGACAGCCTGAGAAAAAAAATCAAAAAATAAAAATAAAAAAAAAATCAAATAATCAAAAAATAAAAAAATCAAAACATCAAAATATCAAAACATCAAAAACTCAAAATATCAAAAAAAAATCAAAAGTCATCACTGGGACAGCCTCAGAAAACAAAATCAAAAAATCATCACCGGGACAGCCTCAGAAAAAAATTTAAAAATCAAAAAATCATTGGGGCAGCCTCAGGAAAAAAATCAAAAAATCATCACCGAGACAGCCTCAGAAAATAATCAAAAAATCACCGGGACAGCCTCAGCAAAAAAAGCGATTTAAGCAGGTTCTTTGTGCCGCTCTTTGCAAATGAAGGAGATTTACTCGTCCTGATTTCCCTGCTTGATTTGAAGGCTCCGAGCGCTGCCGCGAATATTTTTTGTTATTTTCAAACAAATTGACTTCACTGTTCTGCTTTCTTTTCTCAATTACCACTAAAAAGAGGCGCTGCAGCTCACGCTAATGGCTGTCTGGGATGCTGAAGCTGAAAAAAAAATCATATTTTATCCAACCAAATGTGCTGCCAGCTTCTGGTTTAGCATTTCTGACTCCAGAGCCTCCCACTACATTTAATAACAGCCAATACCAGAATTAAATCCACATTTTCCTTCATCTTGATTAATCCTGCCACCCATCAATGAAAGCCAAATATTTCAGGGGGTTCCAGTTCCTACTTCAAGTCCCTGTAACAGCTCTCAGGGATTTTTGGAGGAGTTTGGGGTCTTGGGGATGTGTTTGGTGCTTGTTTATCCCAAATCCCAAATTTGGGGTGATTTGAGAGCCCCGAGGAGGAGCTGAGCTGGCCAGAGTCAATCCGAGTTCATGGATGTGAACAGAAGCAGATTTGATCTCTGTTTTAGATTATGTCAAATAACCCAATTAACCAAGGACACAGAGGATTTCTAAATCAAGGGGTGGGGTTAGTCCCTTTAAAACCTGGAGTTCTCTTGCTTACCCAAAATCTCTTTTTTTTTCCCCCTAAATTATCTCAAATTTTATAAGAGGAAAATCATTCCATGCAAAGTTTTCTCCTGCTCTTACACATCCCCTTGGCCCAAGCTTAGGGCTCTTCATTACCCAGGGAATATTTGATTCCTCTCATTTTCTCCACCAGTTTTTGTTTTGAAAGGTGTTGATTTCTAAGCCTATAGCACAGCTTTTAATAATCTTAATTTGCTGTACCTAGTGGGTGCTAAAATGATTTCTTGGTGTTGCTCATTTGCCTAAAAAGGGATGTGACCATGGCCCTTTGGGAAATTACAGGGCCTGCTAAATGTGATTCAAATCTCAGTGATTCAAATCTCACTTCAGGCAGCCCGAAAGCACAAACCTGATTTTTCGGGTGCCTGTTACACCTGGTGGTGGGCAAACCTGGCAGAAATTAGTGCTCACACCATCACTGGCACCTTCAAAGGATCACCCTGAGCCTCGTCTTTCCAGATCCAAGGAATTTGGGGGCTCCGTGGAGGAGCTGGAGCCTGCTCAGCGTCAGGTGAGGAACCCGATCGCGCCTTCCACCCGCCGCTGCTGGAACTCCCAAACTGGGTTTCATTATTCCCAAAGTCCCTCCCGTTTTTCCCCACACGCACAGATAGCCCAAAAAAGGCTGTTCTCCCTGTGGAAAAGCTCCTGGCACCCTGTGGATACAGAGCAGAGTGCACCAGGAGTGGTCCAAAGCCATTAGTGCTGCGGCAGAGGCGGGAGCGAATTTCAACCTCAGACCTGCTGGGGACATCTGGGGAGGCACCCTGTGAGCCAATTTCCATGCCAGACTCACTGAGGACATTGGGGAGGCACTCTGAGTGAATTTCCACCTCAGACATGCTGGGGACATTGGGGAGGCACTCTGTGAGCTGGGGACATTGGGAAGGCTCTCTGTGAGCAAATTTCCATGTCAAACCCACTGAGGATATTGGGGAGGCACTCTGTGAGTGAATTTCAACCTCAAACCCGCTGAGGACATGGGGCAGGCACTCTGTGAGCAAATTTCCACCTCAGACCCACTGAGGATATTGGGGAGGCACTCTGTGAGTGAATTTCCACCTCAGACCCACTGAGGATATTGGGGAGGCACTCTGTGAGTGAATTTCCACCTCAGACCCACAGAGGACATGGGGGAGGCACCCTCTGAGCCGATTTCCGTGTCAGACCCGCTGAGGACATGCGGGAGGCGCTCCGGGATTCGCTGCTGTCACACAGGAGGGATCTTGCATCGCCCGATCAAGATACCAACGCAATCCTAGCCCTGAGCACATTCCTGATCAACTCCCAGGCTGCAAGAGCAGCAACAGGAGCCCAGAAAAAGCACTGGGGAGAAACTTCCAGCACCCACACTGCCCTTTTTCATTTTATTTTTTCTTTTCTTTCCCCTCCCTCTCCGGCCCCTGCCGCCCCAGACCCTCCTTACCTGGCTCCACCTGGTCAGGTTCGTGCCTGGTGTCTGTGGAATCTGCTGCATCCCCGCTCATCTTGATCTCTGGAAAAGGAGGCACAACTGATTTTAATAACAGGTCACAGTCCCAGGCAACAGGCACATGTGGCTTCCACTAAACAGCACAAATGAATGTGTGTAATTATAATAAACCATCAGACTTTCAAATTTCTGATTCCTCAACATCCAGGCACTAGAATATTCATCAGCTCTGAGGATGCACTTTCCCTCCTGTTGCTCTTTGCAGCCCCCCTCACTGCTGTCCCCCCTCCCCAGTTTGCTGGGGGGGTTTCACCCCTCTCATCCCTCCTCACCCACGGGATCAAGGGGTGGATTCAGCACTGGGAGCTCCCCAGCCCGGCTCAGGCTTCCCAAACCTGCTGTGGCTGTGACAGCACCCTCCCACACCTGCAGAGATGGGGATCCCTCCAGCTTTCTCCCAGATCCTTCCCTTGGCCTTCACGATGCCTCAAACCCAACTTGTTTTTCCCACTGCCTCCATCTGCAGGTTATTTCTCCTCTTTTCTGTCACTTGTAGGTGTCCACAACCCTCAAAAGCCGCCCAAGATCTGCCCCAAAGTGTTGCCCTTTGAATTTCTCCCTCATCTTCACCCAGACCAAGAAATTTGTCATTTACCCTTGAAGTGATGACTGCCACCACACCCGGGGCCACTTTCTCCTTCGGGGACAGCTGCAAGAAAAGGTGGCAATGGTCAACTTCACACCCTTAACAGAGGCCAAGGACACAGAGGTGGGAGAAGGGGGGATCCCTATTCAAATTCAGATGGACACCCGCTCAGCTTTTCCCTTTCCATGGGAATCTTAACTGTTTCCAGACTCGTTGTGGGGGAGAAAAAAAAAAAAAAAAAAAAAAGGTAAAAAATGCGATAAATTTTTATTATTTGAGTGATTTGCATGTGCTTCCTGCAGCCAATCCCGGCCACAGACTCTCCCCATTTGCATCGGGGAATAACAACAGCGGGGAAGCTGGGCCGGTGTTTGCTGTGGTTTTGCCAGGGTAGGGAAGGCAGGTGGAAGCCACCTAAAAGCATCATGCAAACCCTTTTCCTCTTCCCCATATCCACCTTTTGTTATTCCCAAAGGGATGAGGGCAGCCCCGTTGGATTTTTATCCCCATTTCCCTCTTTTGCTCCCACCATAACAGGCAGGGCTTTGTGCGTGTGCAGGTTTTCTTTGCCCATATTCAAAGCTGCCCTCGTGTGCAAACAGCAGATAATCTGCTTTTTTGGCCAAGATTTCATAGCTTTGATCAAGTTGAAAGTCTGTAACTTTCTCCAGCAAATGAATAAAGGTAGAAAAAAAAAATCGGGATTTTATACCAGAGCACAGAAACTTTCACATACTTCAGAAACTTCCTTTCCTTAAATTATATTAAGGAGTGAGGGGGGAAAAAGGAGGGAGAAAGAGTTGTGGGATTTTTTTTTTCCCCTTCAAATAAACCCTCTGCAATTAAGACATGAACGTTTAGTGGGGCTTCTAAGCATTTCTACTGCAGGAAGAGTAATTACCATCAGCTATAAACATCTTCTTGTCTTGTACCACTGCCAAGGGACCCTAACTTAGGCAATCTACAAAGCACAAAGTTTTGCTGGCTGCCAAAAAGTATTAAAAAAAAAAAAAAAGGCAAGTTCTCATAAAATAGAGGAAGAAAAAAAATCTAAAAGCCTGCAGAAATTTGGTGCTTCCTTTGGTGAGAAAGCTTGAAAGCTTGTAAAAAAATAAAATTAGGGAAAGCAAATATCTAATTCCCAAGAGAGTGAGAGCTGGAGCAGTTCAGACAGAGCTGAGGAAGGACAGACAGAAAAGCAGAGCATGAAAAGCTCTGTCCCTGCTGCAGGAGTGACCCCCACACCCTTCTGCCATTAAAAACTGGGATGGGTGGGGAGGGAGGGAGGAATTGCTGCTGCAACTTGATTGCATATCACATGTTATCCACCAGGTAAATCCCCTCCTCCTGCAGCTGGGAGATAAGGAGATGCCCTGGGATTCCCATGCACAGGAATTTTCTTTTCAGCGAGATTCAAAAATCCCCTGTAAATGTGCACAAGTTATTACAGTTTGAATATATTGGATTTTATTTTCAGCGAGTATCAAAAATCCCCTATAAACGTGCACAAGTTGTTACAGTTTGAATATATTGGATTTTATTTTCAGCGAGTATCAAAAATCCCCCCTATAAATGTGCACAAGTTGTTACAGTTTGAATATCTTGTCAGGAAAAATGAAATAAAAAAGGAAAAATAAGCAGGAAGAAAAGGAAAGCTGTGCCTGCTCATCTGAGAGGTTTAAGGTTTAGGACAGATTTTGTATCCTTGTGGATGACAGGGCAGCAGCAGCTCCCTCCAAGGGATCCTTGGGAACAGGGAGCAGACACACAGAGCAATTATTTTCTAATCTAATTGCAGCCAACACCTTTTTATGGACACCCCAAACCCTTCCACTACAACCAGAGCCATGCAAACCCAGCTTTGACCCCTGCTCCATCCTAAAAAACACCTTCAGACAGGGCAGGCTGGCAGTCCAGCTCCTTCCACACAGCTTTGCCAGCTTAGCAATACGCACAGGATAATCAGGCTTGGAAAAAAAAAAATAATAAATAAAACCTCTCTGGGAAAAATAACCCAGCTTAGGACAGCCTAACTCTAAACCACAGCCCTATTAGGAGCCGCCACTGTGGCCTGGGCCATATTAAAAATGTGCTGCTCTGCCCCAGCTCCCAAGCAGAGCTGGGGCAGGGGCAGGCTGGGTGGTTCAGCCAGACCAAAGGAGCTCTGCCAGCGCAGACACTTCTCCAGGATATATCTGCATCTCTATTTTTGCCGAAACAAACGGTGTCAGCAAATAAAGCCTTTCCCAAGCCCTCGTTCCCCGTAGCTGTCGGGGCATGGGCGAAGGGTGAGCCAGCCTGGTGGCTTGAAAAGTGGAATCCCGTGGTGGAGGAGGGGGAGCTGGGCTTGGCTGGGAGCATCACCCCGAGGTTTCTGGGCTTTAGGTGCCTGAGCCCCTCTGGAGGCTGCAGGGAGGTGAAATATCCAAAATGCCCTGGGAGGGGGTGGTGGCAGCCAGCAGGGAAGTGTCTCAGCAGAGAGGAGGGTGTGAGGAGCATGGGCAGCCCCCCTGCGGGCTGTGTCTTCTCCTAAAATCATTAAAGCTGGGGAAAAAATCCAAGATAAAAACTGGGGTTAAAGCTGAGCGCAGCTCTGCAAGCAGCTTGTTACAGAGGGGCCTCAAAGCTGCTCAGGGACCCCAAAACTGAACTGCTTTTGTAGAGGGGGGAAAAAAACCCTCCCACCTGTGCTGGGCTCCTTTTCCTGCAAAGGACTCCTCAAAACTCCAGCACAGGGGGGATGATCCGGGGGAGGGGAAGCTCCAAATCCAGCCTGGGGGCGATGCCACCGGCTCTGGCAGAGGGCACAGGATCGATGTGGGGAATGTCCCTGTGAGGAAAGAGTCACCCACGAGCCCGGGGATGGCTGGATGGCTGGGTGGGTTGGTGCCTGGATGGCTGG